TTTTTTAAATTATACATTTGAGAAAAATCGTATTAAAAATGATTTGTAAGTTTTAAATGATTTGCAATGATATTTTCCAATTATAAATACTTTAGCTAGTGTATAATGATGGAAGAAATACAATAATTTTCCAGGCGATTTCTCAAGAGTTAATTTTCTCAAATCGCTGTCACTTGCGTTTTTTCTGTAAACACTACAGACTGTAAGATAAACAAAATGTAACTTAAGACGTTGATATATCAATTGTATAAATGAATTGTGTATATTATGTATACCTAAGGTAATTCAACTGGTGGATAAAATTTCTTCCTAAAAGTATTTTTGTAATAAGATGATAACAAGGATCTTTTAAAAAATGGATAAACGAAACAAAGCATTTTACAAAATTTTAAATTCTTTTAAGAAACTTTTTCACCGCCTACCAAGGCCTCTGAGAGCTTTTACAATTGTAATGATAATAATAATACTAATAATTAAAATAAGAATAAATATATCACTGAAACGAAAAATAACAAAACGCATGTCAAAAAGATGTTATGCCTCCATCATCCACATATTACGATACGTTGATAATCAGTAAAAAAAATTTCTAAATTTTAATTATTTTTGTAATGTAACGAAAAAAAAAAGTTTCCTCACTCACAAGGGAAAGAGACAAAATTATTAAAAAGTTATCTAAGTTTCTATAACTATAAAGATAAATGTAAAATGGCTGTTCTAAAAAATTAGTGTTTTCGCATGAGACTAACTATATTTTTAAATGGAATCAAATATAGCGATATTGTGTTGTATTGAAAAAAATTGAATGTTGTTTCGCTTGGCACGAAAAATCTCTACATGTTTGTGAAATAAGATCTTAAAATAAATTATTTAGTATTTTAAAAAGAAAAATGTTGCTATTGTAACTTGAAATTATTTAATCCTACTGCTTGTTAATTTTTTTTTGTTGAATAAAAAAAAACTCTTGAATGGAAAATAATGCTGTTATTAATGTAACATAAAATTGTAAGCTGTTCTACACATGGCATTGAGCGAAATTTAAATCGAAATTTTGAAACAAGCCATAGAATATGTCTCTTCCATATTCGGCATAACATCGACGAAACTAAATAACTGACACTTGATGTATAAAATGATATTATTAAATAACAAAAAAAAAAAAAAAATCAATGAAACTAGTGATTAAACAAAAATATCAAAACAAGTTCTTTCTTCTTTTTTTTGATATCCCAATCATTTTTTCTTTTCAACATCTGAATCAGCACTCAATTACTCAATAAAACGTCGACTGGCTTATCAGCTTATAACTTACATGTTTTGTCTCTTTCAAGCTTTAAAGCGACTATATGCGTAACGGAGCTTTGGACATTTCACAACATTTTTCGTCTAATGAGAGGCGGATAACGTGGTTGAATTTCAAAACATATTATGTTTATTATCATTGAAAAAACACACTGTACAACGTGGTTCGAATGAAGACACAATGAAAATATTCTCTTTAATCATATTATTATTTTATGTATATAACTAACATACTACACCAAAATATTTACATTTATTGATATATTTACGTAAGTTTTTTTTTTTTTTTCTCACTTTTATTTGTATTTCACTTTTGTTTATATTTTTCTGTATAAAAACTATATTCCCTTACTCGTGTCGAGAAAAAGCGTAAATTAAAGAAAAATCAGGAATGTAAACATACTTAGGCAAGTAAAAAAAACAAGGAATACACGTTTTTCAGTTATCGCATCACCCTTTTTTTCGCAAAAAAAGTCTTTGAAAAATTAATACGTACTCATATAATGTTGGCAAGAAAAGCAAGCAAGCATCGATATCCCCGAGTTGTGTGAGGATCATCGCAACGTTTTCAACAAGCAAAAGCATCGCTAACAAGAAGCTGAAAACAATAAGGTTCGTTTACTACTTTTACAATTCGATATTGTAACGGGCACTAGGAAATCTTTACATCTTTTCATCTGATGTTATTATTGTCCGGACTAATCACGATTTCATCCTTTGCTCGACGAAAAGCATAAGAAAATACCCTCTGCTTTTTCACTCTCGAGTAATTTTTTTCCCTCTGGTAAGTATAATAATGCAATCAAAGACTCATTCCATGAACATTTTATCATAACAAATTTTCTTTTTAAATTCCTTCGTGTGGATCTTATCACCACTACATTTCAGTTGATCTTCGCTTACCTGAAACTAAGGGTAACAATTACAAAATTCATGCTAAGGTCCACACGTGTTCAACGCTTGTTCAACAAAAAAAGATTTACTTCAATTAAATACAACTTGTATACCTCAACCCGTGTACCATATAATAAATTTTTCTTCGCACCTATACGCATATAGCGTGACATTACAAAAAGCTAAATCGGTGCCAAAACAATTATGCATATATATCTGTTTTGTCTTTCACTTTTATCGCTAAAAATGGCAAATAAAAAGTCACTATCTCATCCATTCGCCTGTACAACCATCACGTAAATGTACAAAGGAACAATTTGTATATAATATATAACACGCGATTCAACAATATTACCTACACACGCAACGGCACTCCTTTTTTTCCCTACAAATCATGTACAACGACTAAATAAATTTTCCCTCTCCCTCGTCGTTTACTTTTTTTTCATTTCATCCTCCGTTTTTTCAAGAACATCAGTCTGATTATATATTTATTACAAAGAGTCACCACTACGTAACAAGCTTATCTTTTACAATCACATTGATCCTTTTTTACAATCGTCTTTATTTTAGTTTATTTTTTCTCAATTCGAATGTATAATAAGCATTTANTTTTTTTTTTTTTTTTTTTTTTTTTTTTTTTTTTTTTTTAATTATGGCACTGCACGATGTCTCGTCGGTCCCTAAAGTTATTTTACACACGTGTGGAAGCTTGCGGTGCAATTTTCTAATCATCAAGTATATCCTAAAAATATCTCTTAATCTCATTTGATCAATTCAAAATTGAAAGTAATTATAATCGAAAATTTTTTTTTTTTTTTTTCTCAAACTCGAAAGCTGGAAATGAAAAAATCTACCAGACATGCAATGAAATTTTGTTCCATCGTGAGATCGATCGTATCGATAATTCGTTGCTCGTTTAGTCTATCATCGTGTATCACACCTACATTTAATTACTTTGTTTTATTTTTTTTGTTTTTTTTTTACATTATTTATTGTTCCTTGTAAGCGAGCACTGCGTATAGGAAAGCTCATACACATACACTTGGTAATTTTAAATATCGGGAAACACCTACGACTTGCGAAGCGTATATCGTCTCTCTTTCTCGCGCCTATGTATATATAATACACGTGTCGTATATAAATATGCAGATGCACTTTTATCTCCTGCATATCAAATTGTCGAAGCTCCAAGTTTCATCGTTTAAGTACTCGTGTAGGTACACCTAAACACGGGAGCCCGTAAAAATATAAATGTTTGGTCGTACAATGGCACATTGTGGGATATTCCGGGAAAAAGTATTGTGTAATAAACATTGGTGTGAAGCGGCGCTCGCGCGTCATGTACGCAATTCCTTTATCATTGTGCTGTTTTTTTTTCTATTTTTTTTTCTTTTTTTTTTTTACATTGACAACGCTATACAGGAAGAGAGACAAAAGTGACCGAAGAGTCTTTATTTACACGTTGCTAGTAAGTAGTTCGAAAATGTGCATCGTACAGCCAATAATGAGCCATGTAATCGCCTTTCAGCGCCAACAAAAGTTTATTCATTAGCATAAGTTATTTGTAATATACGTTGGTTAGTGTAACAATTTTTTTTTTTTTTTTTTTTTTTTCCAAAAGACCGCGTAAACGAGTCACCATCGCAATTACCTCTCGTGACTCGAAATATTCGTCATTGAAGTGCTAAAAAACTATACTCAACGAAATAAATTTATATACGTAACGCGGCATTTCGAGGTGACTTCGATACGCGGCTTGATTTTTATTATTTGTATTTTCAAGAACATGCCATTCCAAAGATTTCACTAGTACGTTCTAATGACACAACGAGAGTAAGAAAGACAATTTTATGAAAAATCCTAAGGTTTGATGTAGTTTTATTACGACGTAAGTTTGGATTCACATAAGCTCTCGAGCGACATTAACTTGGAAAAATGTGATATTCATCCACAAGTTGTATTTATATAATTTACGAGAAGCGTGCAATTTTACGCTATAGCAGTTGAAAATTACATACTTTGTTTTTTCTTGGTCTTAATGTTTTTTTTTCCCTTTTCTTCATTCGAATATTATTCTTGCAATCTCTTAAGTACGAAAATTCAGTTGTTAATGAATAAATAAATTTTCCTTCACATTTTTGCTTTTTTATTTAATGTTTGTCTGTAACAGAATTATACATTAATTTATCTTCTTTTTTTTTTTTTTTTTTTTTTTTTCTCACTTTTATTTGTATTTCACTTTTGTTTATATTTTTCTGTATAAAAACTATATTCCCTTACTCGTGTCGAGAAAAAGCGTAAATTAAAGAAAAATCAGGAATGTAAACATACTTAGGCAAGTAAAAAAAACAAGGAATACACGTTTTTCAGTNGGCGAAGTTCTTTTTTAGTTGTTCCGATACCGTACCGTGGATGTTTATGTTGCTCGCCGCGTTCCCGGAGATCCTGCAACACACAAGGAACACAACACATCTTTTAATGCACAATGTATATATTTTTTGTTTTCGTACGAATTTGAATTTTCAGGTGTACAAGCATCTTCAAAAAAAAAAACTAGAATAAAACGAGTCATTGGCTTGATTCGACACTTGTAAAGCCACATCTTTGTCACGCGCTACAATGAAAGAGAGAGAAAAAAAAAAGACTTTTCAAGAATGATGTAACGCGCTCTGAATAAACGCGACCGAAGAAAAGAAATGATTGTCGTACGAGCAATAATAGGGGAGTATGCCAATGGAGCCGATCATTGGAGCTTTTAGAAAGTGTGCGTTGCATGTACGCTGCACACATTTTACACGTACAGAGTCATTAGAATGACACATGTGGCTGTCGAACAAAATACTTGGTTCTCCCACTCTTTGCTCTTGTTTCACAGATGTATCGACATCAGACACGTTTGCTCCCGTCACTGTAATTTTACTGAAAGCCAACGTGACACTCGTATATCCAACAATTGAGAATCGAATTTTTAGTACGTCGCTTCGTTCGTCGAGCCACTCGACCTTCACTCTGGCGTTGAAGAAGAAAAATAAAGTCGAGTGTCGCTGTCGAACCGCGTCAAATCAACTTTTCCGAGCTCTTCTTTAAAGAAAAACCCACGTTCTTTGTAATTCGTATAATCGCGGGTATAACGACCAACAATCATTTCCCCTTCTCTGTTAATTATCTTTTGCATGAGAAAGGGGGAAAAACTCACCATGGGTGTCCAAGCGCCTGCTTACACGTGTAGCGCTTCTCGACGTCGACGCACATGGCATCGCACGCTACAATATGTATTTTTTTAAAAAAAAAAATAAATTTTTAACCTAACGTTCATTATCACGTTGATGTTCCTTACCATTACAGTGAAGATAAAGATCGAGAGAAATATCAAATAGATTGAAATTTCTGCCTAATAGTAATTTTCTATGTTTTATATATATGTATGTATTATATATACGGAATGTTTACACGTGTGTATAGAAGAGCGCGCAGGAAAAATAAAATGGCTCGCGCAGCTACGGTGAAATTACGGGGGGACGAAGGAAACTTTCATTCACTTACGCGTTCGTTTTGCGGTCGTCATAAGCACAGGGCAAAAAAAGCTACAGCGCGTCGTTTCGATTATTTCCTTTTTTTTTTTTTTTTCTTTTCATCCAATTTCCATCGCTCGATCGTGAATTTTCATTCCGCCGCGTCGAAATCAACTTTTTTTCCCCTTCAACCTGGCGGATTTCTTCTAAATTGCGCGTCAAGCATCGGAACACACTCGCGCGCAACGAGGTAGAGAAAAAAAAAAAAAAAAAAAAAAAAAAACTAATTCGTTTCCACGGATATATCGAAAAAAAGCGAGCTCAACCCGCTGCGAGAGAGTAATCGGCGTCTACGGGTAAAGTATACGCGTCAGCCGGTGATGTATGTGTGCTCGATCAGATGCCGTTGTCGCCGACGTTTCAGAGTCGTTATCGCGAAGCTGTAGCACACTTTTTTTTTTTCCCCTCTCCTCGGTCGATTTATCGGTGGAAACGGTATTTACACGCATAAGCGCGCGTGTGAATTTTAAATCGAGAGATGGAGCGTGTGGGCGATTTTCACGGGTGCGAATGAAAATTCATGGGTCCGCGTCCTGCGTCCGATTTTGAATTCAAAGCAAGCTTCGAAATGTTTTCGCGCGTTGAAATTGAAAGTAGAGAGTGAAAAGTCGAGGTGTACTTTTTTTTTTTTTGCACAGAGGATTAACAACAACAATGAAGTGTTTGTCAAGCGCGGCGAGGACCGAATTGTCGATTCGATGTGCGTGTGTAATATACAATACAAATGTAAACGCCAACAGCTTGATTTGTATCCCTTTTCTCTACCTTTTCTAACGCGCGCTGATTAAATCGCCGTTAAACTCAATATGTATACAGCTCGATAAAAATATACCAACAATCTCTCGGTTGTGCGTGGCAATGTTCGTTTTTTTTTTGTTTTTTCTTGTTTTGTTTTTTTTTTTCATCGCTTAAAAATAGCAATCGTTTATAAAAAATATAGGGTGTCGATATATTATATTCTCTCTGGTGCGCCGCGTTGGTTCCCGGGAGTGCAAACGCCTGCGTCGAAAACAAGTAACCGCCACCGCTCTACTTGCCGATAAATGGATAAGTATATATATGTGTAAGATGTTTCCTTGAGAGAGAGAAAAAAAAAAAAAAAAAAAATTTTTTTTTTTTTTCGCACAGCTACGTCGACACGGAAACCGAAAAACTCGGAAAAGTTTCGTCGGGGCACTCCCCCGCATGTAACTCCAGAGAGTGCCCCGCTCGCCCAACCGTTCCACTGGCCGGCAAACGCGTAGCCGTGCGAAAAAAAAGGGGGGGAGCTCAATTACAATCTGGCACGCCCAAGGAGGGTTGATGAAAAAAAAAAAAAAAAAAAAAAAAGAGGCGCCAAGCTGCATCTTGTGACCCATGGAGGAGCAACAAACATAGGTAGTGGACGATCGGGCCTCATCCCTTCTCGCAGCTCCAGCTGCGCCGGCGCCTCTTGCGGGTCGTGTCGAGCCTGAGCAGGCCCAGCACGCTCGCCCAGAGCTTCCGGCCGGTGGTCCGGCTGAGCAGGGCCGTCCTCTTCATCCTGATCCTGTTGCGTCGCTGCTGCTGAGAGCCGGTAGAGGTGGAGGAGGAGGACGAGAAGGTCGGCGAGGATGGGTCGTCGTTCCCCTTTGGCTGGTGGGCCGGTGACGCAGGGGTGGATACGGACGCGAGGACGACTACGCGCTGGCGATGGCGCAGGCTGCCGACGCGGACGGACTCGGTGCTGACGATGTTGGTGGTGGTGGTGGTGGTGGTGGTGGTTGCCAGTTGCTTCAGTAGTTCCGGTGGTTCGGGCTCGCTCCGCCTGAGAGGCCGGTCCCGCCTACCTGATGACCTGAGGCCTGCTGCTGGGGACCACTGGCGCTGCTGTTCAGCGCGAGCCTCTGCATCTGCCTGATGACGGTCGTCGCGTGGTACGCTTGCTGCAACCATTAGACAACGGGGATGATGACGCGCTCCCATTTGTTTGGCTCTTGGTGATGGTGGTGGTGGTGGAGGTGATGATGGGTTGTGAGTCGTTGTTGCTGCACCGCCGTCGCCGAGGGCCTTGACCGACGCTGTTCTCGGGGATGCGATGATGGACAGATGAAGAGCGACAAGAGGGAACAGAGGGGGGGGGGGGAGGGAGCAGCGACGACGACGACGAGCGGAATGATGTGTGCGTGGACGGGCCGCACGCGGGGTTGGACGAAGAAGAGAGATTTGGGAGTCCGTGGCGCGGAGAGAAGAGAAGAGTAGTAGCCGCACACGGAAGAGAGACATAACAGAGACGGCATGCACAGACAGAGAAAAACACAGAGAAAACAGAGCGTGAGTGGGGCCGTGTTCCTTTAAAAGCCGACTACTAACCTTCCACCGCGATTTGGCGAAGTTCTTTTTTAGTTGTTCCGATACCGTACCGTGGATGTTTATGTTGCTCGCCGCGTTCCCGGAGATCCTGCAACACACAAGGAACACAACACATCTTTTAATGCACAATGTATATATTTTTTGTTTTCGTACGAATTTGAATTTTCAGGTGTACAAGCATCTTCAAAAAAAAAAACTAGAATAAAACGAGTCATTGGCTTGATTCGACACTTGTAAAGCCACATCTTTGTCACGCGCTACAATGAAAGAGAGAGAAAAAAAAAAGACTTTTCAAGAATGATGTAACGCGCTCTGAATAAACGCGACCGAAGAAAAGAAATGATTGTCGTACGAGCAATAATAGGGGAGTATGCCAATGGAGCCGATCATTGGAGCTTTTAGAAAGTGTGCGTTGCATGTACGCTGCACACATTTTACACGTACAGAGTCATTAGAATGACACATGTGGCTGTCGAACAAAATACTTGGTTCTCCCACTCTTTGCTCTTGTTTCACAGATGTATCGACATCAGACACGTTTGCTCCCGTCACTGTAATTTTACTGAAAGCCAACGTGACACTCGTATATCCAACAATTGAGAATCGAATTTTTAGTACGTCGCTTCGTTCGTCGAGCCACTCGACCTTCACTCTGGCGTTGAAGAAGAAAAATAAAGTCGAGTGTCGCTGTCGAACCGCGTCAAATCAACTTTTCCGAGCTCTTCTTTAAAGAAAAACCCACGTTCTTTGTAATTCGTATAATCGCGGGTATAACGACCAACAATCATTTCCCCTTCTCTGTTAATTATCTTTTGCATGAGAAAGGGGGAAAAACTCACCATGGGTGTCCAAGCGCCTGCTTACACGTGTAGCGCTTCTCGACGTCGACGCACATGAGTTTGCTGATGAAATCCTTGGCCGAGTCGCTGATGTCGTCCCAGTACGGCGAGTCAAACTCGAATTCACCTGTGGCATATAAAAAAAAAAAATAAATAAATAAACACCCCCACATTTTCATCCATTTTCAAGACAAGAAAAACAATCTCGGTGTTGTTTGGCATAACAGAAAAAATTGTAAACAATGTGAGTGACGCACCTTTGAGTATCTGAGCAAAGAGGTTGGCGTCGTTCTCGTCGTAGAAGGGCGGGTAGCCGCAGAGTAGGATGTAAGATATGACGCCTATGCTCCAGACGTCCACCGCTTTGCCGTACGGTTTTTGAGCCAATACCTCCGGAGCTAGAAAAAAAAAAATAATAATAATAATAATCAGACATGTCACGATATACCTCTCTCCGATGCAAATAATATGTGGAGCTTACCGACGTATCCAGGAGTGCCGCACGCCGTGGCCATGATGCCAGAGTCCTCCATCTTCGAGAGGCCAAAGTCACTGATCATGATTTTGCTGTCCTCGTCGGGGCTGTAGTAGAGGAGGTTCTCGGGTTTGAGGTCCCGGTGGACGACGCCCTGCTCGTGCATGTAGTCCACGGCCTCGAGGACCTGCCTGATCAAGCTCGAGGCGTCACGCTCGGTGTACGAGCCCTTCTCGACTATCCGGTCGAACAGCTCGCCACCCGTCACCCTAAATAACAATCGACATCGCTCGTATCTACACTTTTCTCTCTCCATCCCTTGGAGTTCGTCTCTTCCGGGATGAGTAAAAATAACTAGTGCATGTACTACAAAGCCATGCAATCACTTCTTTGTTGCAGGGAATAATAGCCCTTTTGTCAATACCCGGGGAGTGTTTAAACGATAATACTTTTACGTGATACGTATCGTTAGTCCGCGTAGGTCGAACGGCCGAGGGATGATTTTTTGTTAAAGATGTTGAGTGAGTACTCACAGCTCCATGACGAGGTAGACCTTGTGCTTGTCCTCGAAGGTCTCCAGCAGCTGGACGATATTCGGATGCGTTAGCCTAAAAAACAAGAAGCATTAGAATAACTCGTTGGGATTTTTTTTCCCCTCCCCCTCCCCCCCGCATGCAATTTCACCCACTAAATGGCGTAGTAAGTATCCATGGAAATTTGAAAAAGTGCTACTTTTTTATTTACAAGTTGGTATATTGATGTTGATTTCAGCACAAGCTACCTCCTCTCGGATGATTTCGGAAAAAGGAGTGTAAGTGTAAAAACTTTATCGATCCAACGAGTGCACGAGGAGCAAAAGGTGGTAAAGAAGGACCTTCTCGGCTTCCTTACCGAGTTACCTTCGAAAAAGAAAAGCTCATAATTCGCAGCGAGCGATCACGAGTCCGCATTAGACTTTTCCCGTTTTGTTCGCCTATTGATTTTCCGGAAGGGGCCAAGGCTTCGACTTTGTCTATACACCTTTCGTTTCTTTTTTTCCTTTGCTACCTGGTATCTATACAGTGCACCACTGCAGTCTCCGTTTCTTTTTTCTTTCTTTTTTTTTTTTTTTTTTTTTTTTTTTTTTTTTTTTATTGCTTAACGAGTGTACCTTCGTCTACTTTTATTTTACTTATTGAATCATTTTGGAGGACCTCATGATGCAAAATACTCTGATTAACCAATTCAGTGGGGGTCACTGGTTTTTTCGACTTTTCCTTCCCCCGTTTGGAGCTTACTCGACGACGTTTTTTTTTTTTTAGATGTACACGAGAAGTACGAAAAAAAAGTGGACTCTTTTTCATCGTACACGTGCATTATAGAGCGCGTGGGTGAAAAGTGCGGTTGTGTACGTTGCGTATACGTGTACACTAAAACGCGTAATGTCACGTCATCGAGTGATTCGAGGGTAAGTTAAAATGTACGACGACGAGGAAAGACGAGGGTATTTTACACAAGTGAGTGCGCGATCGAGTTCAGGGCCACGGTCCCGCACCTCCTCTCGCCTACGCTATGCACGTATATATAGTGTGCCCACCTGCCCATTTTAACCCCCCCCGTACTATGTATATACTATATATACAAGCGCGTGTTTTATGTGGCTGGAACGTACTAAAGATGATTTTTCCTCCCCAGTATAATGTGGGGGAGGGGGTACAGTTAGGTGCACCTATGAGACACTGTTTTTTTTTGGGGGGGGAGGAAGGGGAGGCACGTATTGCATCGACAGGGGGTACTTGTATCATGTACTCAAATACTCTATACTGTTTTCGCTGTGAAAGGGACGTTTTAAGAGTTCCATCATCAACTGGTGCACATATAGGCTACAGCATAACACCCCCAACTTACCCCCTTTGAAAGCTCCGCTCTAAAAATACACCTACACTTGCTTTTTTTTTTTTTTTTTTTTTTTTCCTAACTCTTGTACGACCTAAATAGTAGGAAAAAAAGGAGACAACGAACGCGCGTGCGACTACGTCTCGTTGAAACTGTTTGCCCATTTCCTAATCTTTTTTCCACTTGATACTGCCACGGCCAGTTGGTATTATCATTATCGCGGCAAAGCAGTTGTTTTTTTTCTGGTAACGAAAATTGATTTAAACGCGACTCTACGTGCAATATATGTATATGCTTTTGTCTGTATAGCACGTGATACACGTGAGGGTCGCTGGTCTTTCCGAGGCAAAAATAAATCATCACTGCCAATGATGAAATTTTGCAAAACAACAAATTCACTATGTACGTGTGCGCGTAAATGATGTAAAGGTGACGCAAGTATAGAACCAAGTTTCCGGATGTAACCAAAGACATAATATTATTCCCGATCGGCGCATCAGCCAATACCAGAAACGGCACAGCCGCTCCGATATAAATTCGCCGAGTTTATCTCATATTTTGATACACACACGCGGCCACCCGTCAATCGCTCGTGAACGTTGGATTCGATTCCCCAACGCTCAATGATAAAGCCACCGACTCCGGGTCACGGATCATACACTATATATACCGCAAGTGCAGCACATACCGCACATATATAGGTATATGTAAATATATGTAATATTTGTTTTCGCGCGTGTTATTTTTTAATTTTCAAAACATATCGTACGTAACGCGTAATCGTTATCTCGACGTAATAATATACATATACATGTTTATATTATATAATTAATTTAAATCTTGGGGTGGTCGTATGTATATATTATATACACAACGTTACCGCAATAAACTATTACTGTCATAAAAGCAATGCAACAAAGATCGAGTGATGAATGGCTGAATAAACAAAACGGAAAAAACAAAGCGTCACGCAACAGCTACTTAATAGCGGTAGGTATATGCATGTATAATAGGTATAAAAGCATCGATTCGGCTGGAAAAAGTAAAATAAACGTGCAGCGCGAGTTGAAGCGTAAATCGTAAATTTGTCGGTCAAAAGATCACAACAAAATTAACGGATATCCATGGCGAGTTCGACTTATCATACGGTACACGAGAAAAGCTCAAGTATATCCATACACGTATATGTGTATAGGGAATATAATGAAAAAAAAAAGAAAAAACAGCCAAGAGCCCTCGAAGCTGATGCAAACTTTATTTGCCCCCTGAAAATCGCTCGCCCATCAGCTTATATGGAATTTCAGCAGTGCAGCTGAAGCACGAGCTAATATTAATTTCCCGGGGAGCACCGTAAGCATTATAATTATTGTACCAATAACCAACGTCACGCGCTTGCACGTGAACTTGAAAAAGCTCACGTTTGTGCAGTTGCACACACACACGCGCGCGCTTATACAAATTACAACGTGTGTAAAGCCCGATGTGCACCACCACCACCACGACCTCCCCAATGTAGCCCTTCGAGGCTCAAGGCCACCACCCGCCCCCCCGACCTGTATGTGTATATATAAGTATATGTAACTGCAAATTCGTACGAGTTGCGATGCGCAAAAAGAGGAGGGGAGGGCGAGCGAAAATTAATTAACCACATATATATACTTACAGCCGTTCGAGCGAATCGCGGGTGATGTGTGTATACGCGTGCACCCTCTTCCTTTTCTCTTGATTGTGTTTTTCTCGTACGTTTGCTTCCTCTTTTTGTACGATTTTTCCCGGCTTACGCGTGATTTGTGTTGCGTGTGGATGATGGGCGTTTAATGACTTGAGTGTAAAAAAAAAAAAAAAAAAAAAAAAAAAAAATGTAACTACATTATATTATAAGTACTGGGTATATTGTTAATAAAGAAGATGCAGGTGAGTTTAACTACGTATATATACATTTGGTGATTGTTTTCCTTCGACATTACGAAAGTGCCTTGTGCAGTGTAGGTATAAATTCGATTGGAATAGACGTGGGGATTAGAAACTATGATGTACCTGCACCCAAAGTACGATCCGTCAAAAAAGTAAAAGTGATGCACCTGTACGCTGACGTGATTTGTGTATACCACATTATATAGGTTGTATCGGAGGGATTATGCATACACGGGCATGTAATCATTATGTCGGGTGCGTGCCTTGTATTACGAAAACCAAAGGCCTCGTAGTTGCACGTGTACTGTAGGTACAGCATTGATAAAAAGTGGGTACATTACATACGAAGCGGTGCACAATTACGTCCTCATGCGTCCGCACTTTTATTTGTCTTATTTTTATTCTCCTCGCACGTGTTGACGTTATTAGACGGTAAAAGTTTTTCTTATTTTCCCCAATCCAACTTTTGGCGGGGAATAAGGTATTTTTTTTTTACCCCTCCGTGCTTACGTACAGCGTACAGCGCGAAATAAGTTTCGGAATGTTTTTTTTTCCGCGGGTGCAAAGTTGCAAGGGGGGATGCACCCGTACATCTGGTTTTTCAGATCCGATACGCGCGTTTTGCTTTTTCATTCTAAATAATAAAGCCTTGCGATGCTGTTGTTTTGAATTTGCTACGGTGTATACATTGGTTCAGTGTGTTTATTTTTAGCATTCAATTTCAGGGATGTCGCGAAAATTCAATTTTTTTTTTTTTCCCTCCCCAACCCGTTAGGAAAAAAAAAATAAAATAAAAACACTGGCAGTGAAGTGAACCGCGCGCGTTTTTAGCCAGTGAAAAACAACTCGTGTGATATATACCTACGTGTCGCGTGTAACGAATATTATTTTCCTCGTTGAACCAAAAAAAAAAAAAAAGGAAAAAAAAGGAAAAAAAATAGTCGGGGTCTCGATAAAAACGGAGCGATATCGTTCACGTCACTTTTCGTTATGTACACCCGAGCCAAGGGGAGAAATAAGCGAAACGGAAGCTAAAGATGACAGAACAATACAATATACTCCTCTTCTTCTCGGACGCGACAATGCGGTCGAGGGTTTTTTTTTTTTTTTCTCCTTTCATCCTCCCTTGCCGGAGAATTCGAGGAAGTGTTTCATACGTATACGAACGATGTTATGTATACGCTGACGCGCGCGTACAATTTTTTGCGCGAGAGAGAGAGAGCAAGCGATCAGCAACTGCGAGGAGGATAAAGTGCCAGCGGGCGAGAGAATCGGCCTCTTTTGTTGGCTGCGGCCCGGCAATACGCCTGTTGTACGTTGAACTCGGCTTTCTTCCTCTTTTATACTTATTGCTTTTTTTTTTTCCATTCGACGAACCTACACGTGGTTGAAATCGGCACTTTTGGCGCATCGTATCAGAAATATGAGGAATGAAAAATTCAAAGGGTCTCTGCTGGGTGTCCGTCATACTTTTGGACCAACGACTGTTTGACGATATCGAGCTGGAAGAGGAGCAGATCCCTGCTCACCTCAACTTGACGTAAAATTTCGTGAAAACTACGAGGGATCGTTTTTTAATTGAGCGTCTCTTGCATTCAAAAGAATATTGTTTTTTTTTTTTTCCCTAATCAAACTGCATGTGTTCTTTTTGCTGGGAATATATTTCGTTCATTGCTATTCGCGACACAATTTTGGGGAAAAAATATTTTTTCGTTAGACAAGTACGATAGACGTTACGTTGTGACCAATATCTTGTACCAAGTGATGGAAAAAAAAAAATAAATAAATAAAAAAAATGATTCTCCAACCCCAACGTTGCACTACCCTTCAAAGAACTGCAAAATTATCCAAAGTCTGTCGACGTGTTGCAAGAGCAAACGCATCCAAACCCAAAGACGAAGGGGCGCACGTGCGAGCAGGAAGGGATGGGGGCGGGGGGTGCAAAAAAAAGTAAAAAATACTTATACAACCCCCGGCGGAGCCGTTACAGAGATCAGCCGTAAAAACGAGCGAGATAAAACCCTCGAGGGAAAAAAGCCGCGTATATATAGGAGTTTAGGGACGATGGACGTATGGTCATGATCAAGAACGAGAACAAAGTATATAGTCTCCAGCTCTGCGGGATGTACGATCGCGGAGAGATATCTTACGTTTTTTTTTTTTTTTTTTTTTTAGTGTGCTACTGCGGTTTTACTCTACAGCCACGGCACAAGTCATCGAGTCACAATCAATACACATAAAAAAAAAAAAAAAAAAAATCTCTTTGGTCAGCCCTGCAGGACACAAATAACCGCTCGTTCATTTGACTAATTAGACAGAAAAAAAAAAATGTATACATAATACGCGAGAGAAGAGGTGATGAAAATTTTACGAGTCGCGTCCAACCAGTGACGTGCGATTAGGTAAAGGTCACCACCTATACCAGCCGTGTAGGTAAAAACATGCGTGTATATACCATACAGTCTTTCATCTCATATTATATCGCGCTCGCGAGAGAAGAAATAATATACGGGTATACCAGCGACGGAAATGCAATTAGCATAACAAGTCGATTATTTACATAACTGGTGGTATAGGTGTACAAATATACATGCACGTTTACCGTAGAATCTATATTTATGTATAATTTAACGTGCGCTCGAGAGAAACCAAACTGCACACGTGAACGCGCGTGTAGTATATAAAGAATACACGTTGAAAATGTCTATAAGGTCTCAGTTTTGCTCTCCCCACGTGTACCAGTCAAAGTGCCGTTTTCACCGGCTTACGGTTTTTTTGTACAGGCCAATCATTTGATCATTGTCGACGAGACGTTGCAGTGAATGTGCATAGGTGCGTTTCACTTAATTATTATTCGTCCCAATGGATCGATGAGGCATTTCGTACGTTGAATATAATACCAACTTTGCTATATCTCTTGGAGCTTAATGTGAAAGTGGTACTTTTTTTTGGTCGGCCGTGCAATATTATTCCTCGATCGGGTACAAGAGATGATCCGAGGAGGGGCCGTTTTGGAGTTCACGCATAAATGTCCCAATACTCGGTCACTTGTGTCTTTTATGGGCCTTCGTTGTATTGGTTGTGCACGTTAATTTTTATTGAAAAGTACTTTGCAGGTATATAACAGCCAATGAAAACAGTCGAGAGGGAGAGGAGCGTAAATCCGAAAAATGTACGATAAACTTTTTAATTCGAGCTTGGGGTGAAAACAAAAGGTACCTTCATTCGCTTAAGCATCATATAGTACCGATAACTACTTTGAAAAAAAAAAAAAAAAAAAAAAAAATTGACGCGCGAACCTCCAGTTCCATATATACACAACAAAGTCTCTCCTCTCGATAGTAACTACCCCCCCGGCACTTGTCTTCGCTCAAGGCCACTTGTTTCACCCTCTTGTGTTTGACAAAAGGGGACGCGTTTGGCTCTCTCGTTTGCACCGAAAATTAAAAATAAAGCGTCCCGCGCGGAGGAGCAAATTTTAATATAAAAACGCGCTTCCGCAAAAAACACTTTTTTTGTTTTCGAAGCCAAATTTCAATAAAAGGCGCTCGAGAGCACTTGGATTTCCATATCCCAGCTATCGCCCTTGCACATGCGCGTGCCCTTCGCCCGTAAAAACATGCAAAAGTCGCGTGATCGGCGAAAGAGCACCGCATCCAGGGTCGCCGGTGGGGCCGTAATAAAACAGGAAGAAAATCGCACGCGAGGATGTATACCTATACGTGTACATAGAGTAAAAATGCAGCTTCTAGCGGTGTTTTTTTTTTTTCTCATTTCGTTTTCCCGCAAAAAATGTAATTTCTCGTTGTTGATCGATGAAACGCGCGTGCGTCTGGCCCGGCTAACGCTATTTGGTGCACGCGGAGTCGTATAAAAAAAAAAAAAAAATCGAGTTAGGAAGTAATTTCATCGGCCTTTTTTTTACCAAACTTCCTCCTGTGTACGGGAAATCGTTTCGAATGAGTTGCTTTTCGCGTCACCGCGCAATATACAACAAGCAAAATCAGGGTGAGGCTGCCCCAGCTTCCGTGGGAGCTAAATAAAGCTCCATCCAATATTGTATTGTAAGCGATAAAAAATAAAAACAAGTGACAAAAAAAAAAAAAATGTATGCTCGTGGTAGTATGTATGGCGCGAATTAACGCCGCTAATTAATGGCTCAATCGAACGAGACGATAATTAGTCCCTCGATCTCGGGCTGCCCCTTATACGGAGGGCGGCGCTCTCGGAAAGGAAGTAGAATGCGAGCCGCTATCAAACAGATATTACACACGCATATGTATATATATGCGACCACACTTGGACACAATTATGTTTTATGGATGTTCAAACACTTGAAAAAATAAAATAAAATAACAATAATTGAATCAAGTGCATTCTTTTGCTGAGACAATATTTAATTAACTGTCAATATTGAGAAAAAACTTTTCCGTTTACGAGATAAATGCGATACATTTAGTACATGAAAGTTCATTGATTAACATTCTTTAAATAGTGGATTACACGGTAAAGCAAAAAAAAAAAAAAAAAAAAAAAAAATAGAAAACAGTATCCGTGGCCAAGTCTGTGTGCGAGCAACTGCACGCGACCCGAGCTCTATATCGTCGTTTGAAAGGGGTAAAAAAAGTGTAGCCATGCAGGTACACTCGTATCGATTGATATATACTAAGGGATACCTAAATTGGTTATATCGGCGATATGCGACGAAATCTACGCTTGCCCCACAGTAGTAGTATTCGCATCTCTCGATCGCTTTCGTGGTAATTGCAAATCACTAGTTCAAGAGAGAGAGAGAGGGACACATGTGCAAAGCAACTTGGTTAGATCGTAACCGGACAAAGGGGTAACCGCAAGCACATCGAACAGGACCAAAAGTAAGGTATACCTACGATGAAGACGACAAAGGGTCCGCTCGCACGCGACATATACATATACACCTACATAACACACAAAGCAACTCTCTGTCTCTCTTGTCCCTATAATGCGATACATACCGGTTGGAATCTGATTAGCGGTGGTCGTGCAATGTCATCGCTCAAACGTGTGTATACTTATACTTACCGTCGAGTGTGGCGCGTCAAGATGGGCTTAGCTCGGGTCTTGCGTTGACCCGCATTGTACGATTACACCCTCGGTATCACGTATCGTCGTGTTTGTATGTTATATACATACGGACTCTGGAGGTCTAGTTCCGCGAGAGCATATATATTATATATACACCGTTGATCGGCTCAAAGGGTAGGAGCTGTCGGGTCGCGGCTTTCGTGACGGATTTGCTATATAAGCTGTGAGGGTAGTATGCCAACGTATATTTATATATACAGCGTTGATTATGCGTATTGTCGTCTGGATGTTGAACAATCAAAGGGCTCGTTGTGGTGTAATCTTAGATTCTTTCGTGGCGACGGGTGTTGTGATGGAGTGTTTTTTTTTTTTTTTGATTTTGGGGAAATAAATATGCGAAAAATATAGCCACCTCGACTCTCAAGCGGAGCCCATATAACAATAGCACACACACATACATATATATATAAGCGGGACTGCGAGTGCCCACATGAAGCATCTTTGGGACGTTTTTTCTTTTCATTAAATCTTGAAGCTAAATAATTGTTTTTCGTAATACCAGAAAATTCAATGTATCGTAAAAAGCAACAACAGATGCAAAAAGTACCCTGGAATCACATGGTGTACAAAAATATAGTGAAACCACTTGGCGCTGATAATATATATTTATATAAAAGATACACAGTGCGTGCAGAGTTGGAGTAAAAACAAAAAAACAAAAAAAAGAAAGAAAGAAAACAAGAAAGGTGTACCAAAGAGAGATTCGATCAACTCGAGAGGGAAAAAAAAATGTAATTAAACCGTCAGCAATCAATCAGCCGTCCAATTAATCAACACCAACGTAAACAACAATGGAGTCTTGTGACGTGAGAAACGAAAAGAGTGTAGTCGCAGTGTCGGTGATAAGTTGGAAGTCTGGTGATGCGTGTATATACAAAATGATTATCGTGTGCACGAGTGAGTAGGAGAGACAGAGGAGGAGAAGAAAAAAAAAAAAAAAGGAAAGAGAGACAAAGAGAGAGAGTAGTTGTGAGCGAGTGATGATATACAAAGAGTTAGAGAGACTGGCGTATTAGGCGGTTGGTGCCCCGAGGAAGGGCCCACTTACCATTGCACTTACTTTTGCTCATTATTATCGTCTATCTTGAGCGACCCGTCCCCACTGTACGACGTCACGCACCGACTGAACCTACGGATTAACAAATAATCTCCAATGTCACACATGGCCGTCACTGTCTGCACATCGATCATTAAACATGTTTTTTCTTTTTTTTTTTTTTTTTTTTTTTTTTAAATTATCCTTCGCGTGCCCGTCGTCGTTTATCGTTTATTTTTATGGAATCTTTGGTATTTTTACATTTTTCAAAATTAATACAGTTTCACCGAACAATGTCCGTGCGAGTGTTTTGTCTCTTCGCTACGTTTGTTTTGGCTGTGAATATGGGGATTTTCATGGTGGAAACTGGAGGATCAAGATTTTGTATATTTTATACTTTCCAATACGCGACCTACGTAGTCTTTAAAACCGACATATTTGTCTCGTTTGCTGATGGTTTATGTAGTGTATGGATTTTTCATTTACACGTGTTTAGGATAAAACTGTTTGTTTTAAAAATAATACATAAATAAAACACCAAGTTTGAACACAATGAAATATTAATTTGTAAAATTGACACGTTTGGTATTAATCGACTATGTGACACGTGATCTGTTATTGTAATTTGAAATGTGTTAAAAGTCGTGTGTTGTTGGCGAGTCACAAAAAATAACAAAAATATGTCAACAATATTATCGTGTCGCGACAGTGGAGTATGAGAAAAAAAAAAAAAAAAAAAAAAACAGTTGTAAACTGTAAGTGTAGCGTAGTAAATTGCGTAGTTTTGGGTGACGTTTGATAACATTGACGAAAATTAAAGGACGAGAAAATTACAATTGGAAACATCGTTAAAAATGAACGAGGATCATACTCACAGCCACAGATATATTGTTAGAAAAGGGCATAATTAGTTTTTCAAGCACGTATTTTTTTTCTGCATACATTATTTTTATGCTACAACATTTTTTTTCAACTGCATTTACAATAGTACTCGTAAATGTTTTTTAATTTTTTAATTTTTTAAACACGTTCAAATAAGCTAATTATTTTTGAAAAATGTATTATGTACTTCTATGAAGCGAAAAATTTTTTTAAATTTTTTAACATAAAAGTAATGGAAAATAAAAAAAAATTTTTTTAATAGTTTGAAAAATCCATGAAATAATTATGCCCTAGTCTGGCTATTGCAAAATGTAATAGTTTGTTTTTAAAAACTGTCGTATACAGCCCATTTATGCACATCTACAAACACAACGCGCTACACGTCAATGCAAGCAGCCTATAAAAATATATACATGTATACACGCAACAATACAATTACGGAAAAAAAAGCGTTGCGAGCAAAAATTAAGTATTGAATTTTTGTTTGTTCAACTATGGCTACATGAATTACAACGCGATTCGAAAAATATTTCAAAATTGTACAACTTTGATCCGATCGAAGAAAAAAAAGGATAATTCAGACTATTGTAAAGTAACGAAAAATTGGTACAGCACAAATGGTTGAGTGCCGATGCAGCGATACTCGACGAACGCTATTGAATGATAACCAATTTTGCCGTTAATCAAGTTAATTTACACGATTAGGTAATCTAAAAAAAAAAAAAAAAAAAAAAGTATTGTTTTCAAGGCAACTTTCCGTGAGACAGCGTCGCGAGTTTTGTTGACACAAAAGAAACAGAGCACAGCTGGCTAAGGAGTCTCATCTGGCCATGCCAAGAACAGGACACAAAAAAAAAAAAAAAAAAAAACCATCACGATAAACGGACAAACATATAATATATATACTGTACGTAACAAGCATTTTGAAAACGTGTCAACTCACCTCCGCAGGACTTTGATTTCATTTTCGAGCGAGTCCTCCTTGCCCTTGAGCGCCTTTTTGTCGATTATCTTGACGGCGTACAGCTCGCCCGGCCGATCCTTGCTCTCGGCCAATCTGACTTCGGAGAAGGCACCGCTGGAACAAAAATTTCACGATTTCTCCTCCGATCCTTTCATCATACCATACATTGACACTACAATCCCTAATGTATCGAGTATAAGAGTTAATATTGTCTCAAACGCAAGAGGTAGAAAAAAAAAAAAAAAAATTCAGAGTTGCCCGAACGAAACCACCGAAATCACGTTGATTTTCAAGGACATGTGCGTCTTCGAAGCTCAAAAATAACCAACAATTTTGACGTCCGAGCCATACAACGTAGCGGAGGACCAAACCGGTTGGCTTTGCCATTGCAACGTACAGGTAGAGAGCCCGTATATATATATATACATCTAAATTTAGACGACTTGGTCGCCCAAATGACAAAATTTCGACGAGTCGAGCGAGCGGCGATGATATACACCTAAGCTTTGGCGGAGTATCGGTAAGCCGTGGAAAGTTGCCTTTCCCGAGGATAAGAAAAAAAAAAAAGTATCTTATACCTCCCAAGGGGTTCCCGGTTGCCGGACCCCCGAGCAATCGAACGAACGAGAAGGAGAGGGGGGGGGGAAGTAAAGCCCCGTCGAGCGATCGGTATATACTTACACGGCGTATAATATAACGGATCGATGGCCTGACGCAATTTTTGCGCCACCTGTTTTTTCTCTCTCTCTCTCTCTCTCGGGTTTGCCCGTGGCGATACTTACGCCTTGCGCAACGCGCAGCGAAAACGGAGAGGAAAAAAATGTATTAAAAAAAAAAATGTATATATAACGTACACAGGTAAAAGGAAAATTAAATCATCGTGTAACTTTCCCTGCACTCGTAATGTGCATATATACATATACAGCGTTTCTCCATCGCTGCCACACAAGCGAGTTCATTTCAGAGGAGGTGGACGCGCGTTCAAAGTTACACACATATGCAAACGAGTTTCCCGAGATGGTGTACAATTACACGGGGGGGGGGGGGAAAGAGAGAGACTCGGCCCGTGGAATATTATCACTTTACGTGAGTATTTTTTTTTTTTTTTCCTTACGGACGAGCTGTGGTTCGAGGGGGTCGACTATGCTGCCTCGCTAATGAGGTTTTGTTAATTGCGCTTCCCCCCCCCCCTCCTTAAATCGATTCGATATGCGCCAATTAGTGCTCGGGGACAAAGGTCCGGAATGCCACTGAGGATTTCGAGTTCTTTTTCCTACTTTCCTCTTATTCTTGCAATCCAAGTGTTCCTCTCCAATTCCCAACTGAAATATATATATATACATCTCAATAATAGAAAGAAATTTTGCTTTAATACGTCCCTGGCTCATAAATTATTGATTGGAAGAAGAAAAGAGAAATAACGGCACTAATGGCCAACACCCATGGATATGCGGTTCAATCTGGAAAAGCAGGTCCATTACCTGTATACGGCGGGGGCTAATGCACACGAGAGATCAATCATCGGGTGCACTTACGCGACGAAGCATTAAAAACCAGAAAATGAAAACGTGCCGGTCTCGATATAATACAATACAATATATACTCTCTCGCCTCTATATATTGGCCGTGTCCACGCACGAATTGATTGTCCATGTATATACACACACACATTGAGAGACGGACAAGTTGTTATGTTGACAAAAGAGAGCACATATTATGTATCTGGATGATGAAGCTCAGATGGAGAAAAGAGAGGAATCTTCTGTTTGCGCGTAAGTGGGTGTGTAATGGACCGACATATATTATAATATACCGGAGAACAAACGGAGACGCATTAGCCACGTGCAGGGTGTATATACTATACATGTAAGGATGAATTTCGTTGCAGCTTGGCTTTTTTCCTTCTTGAAATCGTTTCTGTACAATTCGTCTCGGCGGACCAGTTGTATACATAGCCATGTACAGCGCGCGCGTACATAATTGCCTCCGGAGACTCGTCGTCTCCTGGGACAGCTTCGCCGTCCATCCGAGATGTGTACACCGCACGTCAAGCGGCCACTCTCGTATATATTTATATTCTCGTCGGCCCGCGTCAACTCCATAATCGGACCATACATTCTCGCGTGCACAGCTCCAGTTCATACACATATATATATTGGGTTTGCAAAATCGAGTTTGGGGGGTATAAGACAATAGCAGGGAGTGTTAATTACGAGAGTAACCTGCGTATACCCCGCACTCGAGTGGCCCGGACGTGACAATTTCGACGGGGGGTTAATTTCTCTTGCCGCGAGAGACGATTTTTGTTTTTTCTCGCTTTCATTGTGCGGAAGTGAAAATCAGGATGGAAAATTCAGGTGCATCATACGAGCGTGAAATTGAAATTTTCTGAAAATAAAAGAGATACCGGCGGAAGGAGAAAATCGGCCGATCGTTATTCAACGCGTTGGGAGTGTGTTTCTTCCTCTCGGCCGAGCCAACGTATCTCCGGAGTTATTATTTTCCTTTTCTTTTCTTTTTTTTTTTTTTCTTGTTACCACGTGATGGGAGGACAAAAAAGAAATCGAGTTGATATATTACTTTGTCTTTGGAGCAAACAATTTTTCGTTTCTTTCTTTCTTTTTTTTTTTTTCGGTACGACGAAAAGAAAAACAGGAAAACCGGTTTGGCGCACGTACGGGAGACACAAAAATTCATGCTTTTTAATGCCGAAAGACTTGACTCTCTCTCTCTCTTTCTTTGATTAATATTTGATATTTCATAACTTGTCTTTGCTTCATTTTTCGGGATGATGATGAAACACTCGACATATGCCCGGTATGACTCAACGCAGTTTTCATACTCCATAAGAAGGTGTTTCAGTTTTTGAAATTACAAAAATATGTCCGTTAAAAATTTCAACTGATTTTACAAACCGGAAAGCTACATATTTTGTTTCAACATACTACCGATGATGACCGATAAAAAGTTTATAGTCTTGTGAAAAGTATAAGCGATGAGTTAGTGTACCCCGAGAGAGTACGATGTAGCGTAAGAGTCGAACAAAAATTTCTAAATATTTACAACTTGGGGTTGCGCTAAAGATCGTGGCACATCAAGCCAACAAAGGTATTTCGAAGCCCTTCAAAAATGATTTCGACACGTGTTCCTTATCAGCGCTCGTTTAAATATTTATCTTCTTTTTGTATTGCTTCAGCGATTCATCACTGGGTATTTAATGCCTTTGAACGCAACGCATCATTACGCAACAACAGCTCAGGTCTCGAGAATTACATTTCACCCGGTGAACGAGTCCTTGCACTCTGTACTTACCGATTCATTTTCAATCGATAGAAAAAAGGCTTTCTGTTTTGTTTGTTTTCTCATTGTGTTTAACAATATTAAGCCCTTGTGTGTGAGTTGAAATAGAAACGTAAGATGCAACATGTGTTTTTAGTGTCACTGTATAGACGATGAAATTACAATTTGATTTTAATACAATAGGAGTATGAGTTGAACAAACATTTTTTGGTACTTAAAAGGAGTCATTGGGCGCAACGAACGTTACTTGTGTTGTTATTTCTTAGTAAGTACTCGTCAATAATTAGAATCTGAGGTATAATTGGTTCAAGTTGTAAAATACAAAGTTTTGCAACATAAATGTTTGACATATGACTCAAAACTGTTTTTTTTTCTTTTCCCCTTGAAATAACTTTTTCATGGAAAATGTGGGACAAATTTGTCGCGAAAAATATTAAAATCTTTCTGTATAACAAACTATTTTATGTGTGACCAGAATTTTACTTACTTGGTATTATAAATACATATGTTTTTTTTTTCTCTTTCCCACTCAGAAAGAAGAACCCAAAATAGTTCACATTTGCTAAAAAAGATGTGCAAGATTTTACGACTATCGAGCACAGAGAGGACGAAGCGAACGAAATAAATTTGAATTTCATGTTTGTATATTAATAAAAACTAAAAATTGTACTTCTAGTGGTCAATTCATAAGTTATTTTTCAAATAACGTCCTGAAAATGTAGTAGATTGCATTTTCAAGCATATTTAATGCATTATTGTTTGTAAGATTAATACATTTTTTTTGTTTATGTTCAACTATTTTAGCACTAGTGATTTTATTGCCCTTTTCTGAACAGGTAGTATACTTATTAAAAAAACTCCTATGTACACGTAAGATGTGACCTATCAATAAATCGTAAGAGGTATACATATAATATTTAAAAAAAGGAATTTTTTAGTCACATAATTAATATAAATTTCATTTGCATTCAAAGTAAGCAAATAAAAGCATTTATGGTTTCTCATCGTGCTCTTGATGCTTGTATCCTTTTATTTTTGATTTTTTCTGAAACATAACTGCTAACTGCTACAATCACCCCAAATAAATTAACAATTTAAAGTATATTAGCTGTACAAACTTTCATTACAATCACCGACACATTTCAGCAGATTTATATATATATATTTTTTTTTTATTACAGCAAAACCGATTTCCCATGGTTGCTTTGGAATAATCCGAGAAAGGCGAAAGAGGTGTGATCTCTGGAGAGACGTGACGCTTCCAGTGCCCCCGAAGAAAAGATAAAAGGAGTCGAGAAGAGAAAAACCAAACTAGTTCAGAAGTCGCGCGACGAATACGATCTTCCTCCGCAGGAACGATACGGCACTCCGTGCGCCGCATATCTATGTGGAAAAAGACGCCAGGCATCTTATCCTCGCGATGCTCACGGCGTCCTTTGAAAGGAAAAAAAAAAAAGAAAGAAATACTTCTCGCCTTGTTCGAGATAAAAAAAAAAAATAAATAAATAAATAAAAGTTGGAAATCGAGGTGGTGAGCACCGCGGATTTTTCAAGAAGAAAAAAAAGGTCACGGAGGCTTTTCTTTCCAATTCCAGCTATAGATATAGTTTTGTCCGTTTCAAGCATCGAAATTTTAATGGACCGTAACTCTGGACTCAACGAAATAGAGATTAAAAAAAAGTCGTGTACATAGGTACACCAATGCACGATTGCAAGGTCAAAGGCGCAGTTTACCAAAATCCAAGAGCTCATGTATACTCTCGATGATGAAAAACCAGCAGCTAAATACTTTATAGACTATAAATATGCCGTAC